CTTTTGGCCCAGAGATTCTTGTGTGCGTCCTAATGTGCCGTTATTATGTACTGGTAGAAAGTATGTCCATAACATATGTTTTTTTCCCTTCTGATCTATTACCTCTGCATATCTTTGTCATTCTTGCATGTCGAACATTATTCTATTGTCAATCTCTACAGGTCAACGCCCAGAAGCAGAAGGGCCAGGGAGCTATTGCGTCCGATAACGCTGTTAAATTCTTGAAGGTAAACTAAATTGCAGACCTTCCTTCTATACCAGCTTAAATTCATCCGACTTTAATGGCCGAAGCAATATCCATGCTTCCACAGAGAGCTTACTTTGAACAAAGTACTGTAGATCATAATCCTCTTTATGATGCATTTTATTGTTCTTTTATGCTACTTTTGGTTGAATATTTACTCCTATAACTGTATGGCTATTGATATTTATATCTGCAGATATTGGATTTATGGTTGCATTGAATAACCTCTTGCTTTTGCAGGCAAACCCTGCATTTTTACAAGCAATGAAGGCTGCTGCCATACAATCAGGTGATGGGTCAGCAAATGTCAACAGGTCGCTCAATGCTGCAGTAGTTGGAGAAGGTGTACCACGACTGAGAGGAGTGGATGAGCGAGCTGCTCGAGCGACTGCAGAAGCTCGGAAGAAAGCTGCTGCAAGAGGCCTTAATGTCCGTAATGGCCCTGCGGCAAACCATGCGTCTGATGAACTAGCTCAGATTCTCAAACTCATCAATGCTGCTTCAGGGTCTTCCACGTCTGCCTCTGCAAAAACTGAGGAATCTGCCTCTGAAGGGCAGGCAACAAATGGATCTGTTCAAAATGGAACTGCAACCGAAGCGATGGCTGCGGATACCAACGGGCCATCTGCATCTGCTAAGTCCACTGTCAACACACCAGTTGGATTGGGGACAACATTGGAGTTGAAGAAGCAGAAATCAAAGCAAAAGTCGTAGAAAACCTGTGCCTGGAATTTTTTTTGGGCAACAGTTTTGGATTTTAGGGTGATTTGGATTTTTACCTTTTATAGGATTGCCACGTTCACGTGGTGGAAGAGTTCATTTGTTTTTGTTGGAGGTTCTTAGGAGGGTTCAATAATCATTACAAGAAAGAAAACAATTGTTTCGAATCATCATTGATAGACCACTGATGAGATAATGGCTAATCCTTAAGCTAATAAATCTGTAGTCGGCACAGTACCTGTTTAAAAATTTTGTGCAAGATTAGTATGGTAATTTGTTGCCCAACAGTGGTATTACACTTGTTTTTGTTGACTTTTTAGTGCTTCTGTTGGTGTGTGTGTGCATTACTTTTTTTAGTGCTCCTGTTCGTGTGCGTTCAGGGTTTCTGCAGCTCCAATTTGCACGTGTGCAGAACTGTGTTCGATTGTATTTTCATTTGATTTGAAGCATCTTACTGCGCATGTGCAATTGTGATGGCTACTGACATGGATTTTTTGCGGCGTACCCCGTTGATGCCATCATCGATCACGCCGGGTATACCGTTAATGTAGTTCTAATGGTCGCTATATCTTTTTTCTGATAATGCTCCTATCAGCCGTCAGTGACCGCTCATCTGGACACGGCTCCCCAGGAGCAGGCCCTAAACAAAAATAAATTCTTGGTCGGACGGACGTCTTTCACCGCTCACTCCTGCACGTGCCGCTTGCCGTTGCTTCCTCCTCCCCATTCTTATCTTTTCCGCGCTCGCGCCCTGCCCCACCCCACGTGCGGCCATGGCCGCCTCCCTGGCCATCGTCGGTGCCCTCATCCACCCCGGCATGTGTCCTCCCTCACCCCGGCGTCCTCCTCCCTCACCCCGGCGGCTCCTTCCCCCCACGGCCCACCCCGGCGTCCTTACCCATCGGGAGCACCCAACGCCAGCGGATTCGGTGGCCCTCTCCCCCACCCCGGTGAGATCAATGGAGCACGAGCGAGATCCATGGAGGTGGCGTGGCGGTGTTGTAGGGGAGTCGGCGGCTCTCCCCCGGCACGGTGCCCTCTCTCACCCTGGCAACGGAGCTCCCCCTACCCCGACGGCCATGGCGCTCCCCGCTCCCCATTCCCCCACCGCCGCCTCCAAGTCAAGCCCGGTGTCGTTAGCGCTAGCGGTGGTGGTGCTCGCGTGCAGCCGCTCGCCGTCGGCTCCCACCCTTCGACCGGAATTGACCGGCTCAGGCCTTTCTCTCCCTATGTTGCAAATGTACGTTTCAATTGTTTTAGAAGTTTCTAAGGCACGTTGCAATAGTTTAATATGGATGTTGCAAAAGTAGATTGGGGGATGTTGCACATATTGCATATGTTACAAGTGTTTTAGAAGCATGTTGCAAGCGTTTGTTCAAACTGTTTCATATGTTTCCAGACGTATGTTGCAAGCGTTTTGATCTAGATATTGTATATGTTTCAGCAGCTATACATATATGTTGCAAGCGTTTATTTAAAATATTTCATCTGTTTCAAACGTATGTTGCAAGTGTTTTATCTAGACGTTGCATATTTGTGGTTGCTATACATATATGTTGCAAGAGTATGTTACAAATGTTTCATCTGTTTCAGACGCATGTTGCAGAAAGTGCTTCATGTTGCAACATTAACAGACGCAGGAAGCGGGCGCGTGCGGAGGCGGTCCCAACGGGTGCAGCGATCCCCACGTGCGTGGCAAGCGAAGCGGGCGTGGGTGGTCCTCACCTGCATGCACATCAGCAGGCACGGGCGCACAGCTCTACGTGCAGTTGGGGCCGGGAGGCACAGCAGGTGCATGCAGGGCAGCAGTATAGATTGTCTCTCCGTTACATTCTTTAGTTAAAAATTGATGTAATGAACCATCGAATAACTTTTGAATCGTTGGATGTTGAACATTGAATCAATATGAATGTTCAACATTAACGAATACGAATATTAAGGGACCTAGAGACATGTCTTCCTAGAGAGTCCACAACCGTACATGTATTCGAGTATTTGAGTATTTGTGTATAGCAGTGTTGAAAATACCAGGCTACAGCCTGTTCGGTTGACTCGTGCTTGTCGTAAACGATCGTAAATTTTCAGCTGGAACGGTATTTTTCTCTCACACCAAACCAGCCAGCAGTACTTCTTCACGAACCAGCAACGAACAAGCCCAACCAAACGAACAGGGTCGTATAGTCTGATATAGCTTTTTGGATAGGGTGTCATTAAGATACTACATATATATTACCGGTACGAGCGCTATTTTGGACAATTATCGGTGCTACACGCTTTAGCGGTAACTTAATTTAGCAGCGCTAAATGTGTAGTCTGACGACCTATAAACAAATAAGACCTAGCAAAATTTTTATTTACCCATGTTTAGCCTATCTATACATGGTGTATTAGCATGCTCACAAAACCCAACATCTCCAATTCCCCTCTCTATATTCTCCAAGACCACGCTCTGAGTTCAGAACATTTTGCGGCGACATGGTGATGATGTGTATCGAGGCAACAATGGCCGGAACGACGCCTATGAGAGGATGAGAGTGATTTCAAGAGGCAGCTACGTGTCATAGCTGCGTGCGGTGACTGCGGAAGTCGCGGCCGTGGCCGTCCCCTTTGCCTATGTGCACCAACTACATTGCCAAACGGTTGCGGTATTGGCACGAAGGGGGAATGTGATAGCTGACAACAGAGACAGATGCAAGTCAGTAAATGCCAAAGCGGTAATATGCATGTTTTTTTAGAAAACTCTATCACTATAGTGGCCACTATAGCTTGTTAGATATTTCCTTAGGCTTTGCTAAATGTCTTGGCCCGCTATTTACAGCACTGGTGTTTATAGAACTTTCCTATAAATTACATGTTTTGATGCACAATTAATTAAAAATATCCATGCTTTTTTTATAAAATCGTTAAATGAAAAAGTTTATGCTATATTTCACTATAGCTTAGCTTTTTATCGGAGGTGGCCGCTGTGGCGCTTTCTATTGGAGGTGGCCACTAGCTGCAGCTAAATATCTTAGACCGCCGTTTAAAACCTTGGTTTTAACTGTATTACTCAAAAAAAAAACCATATGTGGACTACGTGGGCAATTTTGAATGAAGACAATTTTGATTTTGAAGGTTGATATGCGTGTGATCAGAGAGGTTAGTAACTTACTCCTTCGTCCTAAATTATAAATCATTTTGGCTTTAGAGAAAGAACGTAGCTAGAAAAGACAAAATGAAATTATAATTTGTCTAATTTAATTCGTTTCAAATTGTAAGTTATTTTAGTTTTATTCTAACTCAAACTTTTTTAGTTTTGACCATATTTATCAGAAAATTGTACAAACATACGATATCAAATAAAACTCATTAGAAACATCATGAAATATATTCTTAAGATAAGTCAATATATTTTTTAATTGAAGGCTATATTTTAATAAAATTTCGACTTAGAAAAAAACAAAATAAAGGCTATATTTTAATATAAGTTAATATCTTTCTATAAGTTTACCAAAGTTGACAAATTTAGCTCAGAACAGAACAAAATAACAAAATAAATGCAGTAGATTTGAAGGAGGCTTTCTGTGAGCGATTGTAGCCATAAGGCGCCTACTTCGCTTAAACTGATTCACCAGGTTCAAATGTTCTGATCTATAGAGTTCCCCTCGCTCTCTATATCATTTTTATATAGCACATTGTTTGATGTTTTTACAAACTACGTATATTGATAAATGAATTGCCATAAGATGCTAAATGTTATGCTTTATATATCACAAAAAAGGAACTTCAGCATTTCATGTTCTACCAGGGGAAAATAGACAATTACACAGTATATCGTGCCAATGCGTTTATTGTGATCGACGATCACAAGAAAGCAAATCAAAGATTTATTCTGAGTGTCATTCCCGTCCCTCTCAAGCATCAGCGATAAACAAGTTGCCATGGATTTGCTTCGGAACTAACTGCATCAGCAAAACTGACATAAAACTGCACATCAGCTTCAAATTCACTGAGTTGATGGCTTGCAAGATTGTTTGCTACAAACACAGGCTTAAAATCACTTTGCAGGCTTCTTCTCAGTTGTGTAGGCATAGTACTCTTTGCCGTTGTCCACTCTTGTTGTATTGCCGCCAATGTCCAGCACAGCAGATGTGAAGGCCAGGCAGGAGCCTCCGATGAGGGCTGACTGAATACTCTTTCCTGCCAAAGTGGCATCCAGATTAAGAGTAAGACGACGTTTGGTTCCTCCTCCTAAACTTTAGTCGCTGTCTCATCGGATGTTTGATACATGCATGAAGTATTAAATATAGACTAATTACGAAACTAATTGCACAGTTTGCGACTATTTTGCAAGGCGAATCTTTTAAGCCTAATTAGTCCATGATTTGACAATGTGGTGCTACAGTAAACATGTGCTAATGACATATTAATTATGCTTAATAAATTCTTCTCGTGGAGTACTGACAGATTCTGTAATTTGTTTTTTTATTAGTATCCGAACACCCCATGCGACACCCTCACGTGACACCTCCTAAATTTTAGTCACCGGATCCAAACACCCCCTGAGGCAGACAATCGGAGTTGATAGCCAATATACTAGATACAAGCACATACATCAGTACAGACTAAAAGCTGTTCACAACTGACAGTTTCTTGTATTCCATCTTAATGAACAACAAAGTTCACATGAAAATTATTATTATTAACCAGTTATATAAGTTGCACTAGATCCAGTTGATCAGAGTTACACTAATCCATGGGACAACGCAACTGCATTACTAATTTCTGAAGAAATAGAAATGTGTATTAGTAATAGTTTGCTCAATTGGAGTCAATAAAACAAACAGGGAGCTAATCAAAGTATAAGCATGACAATACTGTCACTATGAAACATATACTCCCTCCGGTCAAAAATACTTTACACATTTGACTCTGTATGATCTTTGATGAATATCTTTGACCATTAATATCTTCTAGAATGTATTCTTAAAATCCATCAAAATTTATGAGATTTTGCAAATATTTTCTGATATAAATCTAAACATATATCTTACTTGTTTCCAAACTAAATAATTTGGAAGTTACTTATGTTTGTAGTTTTAAGGTTTGACCAACATCTTGTCCTAAACACCATGTTTTAATGACCAGAGGGAGTATGTTCAAAGCTAAATTGCTTATTTGATGCATGAAAATGCTGCGCAGATGCTCACCCACACCATTGCTTATTAGCCCTTATTTCTAGCTAAACCTAACTGATGTTACAAGCAACACTAGGGTGTTACGCTAATTTATCACCACGCACAGTGCTTTATACACTAAGATCGTATCTCCACCAATAGAGGCATTTAAGGAAGTTGTAATTGTAACTCGTATTACTAGAGTTTCCAGTGAGAACAAATTGGAGTGAATAAATGTCAAACAAAATCAGTTTCTAAGTAAATGAGCATGCTATATTTTTATTGTATGATAGATATGTGGGGTAATACTCCTATCTCATAATACCAAGATGTTCTACAAATTTAATGGGATGTTATACATAGTTTGAACCATAGGTTGCATTGCTCGAAGAAGAAACTTGTTTAGCCCAAATGACAGTACTTCTGGAATAATGTTCAGTGCGATCATTTCTAAACTAGAGAACACAAATTGTGACAATAGAGCAAATATTATATGAAACAGTGAAACAACTGTTTGACCCGTATCTGTCCACACAATAACTCTTACTGTGTAGCCACCAGAAGTCAATAGATATAGGAGCACAAACTATGCCATCATCCAAATTTAGGATGAACCAATCCAAATGCTCCAGACACCCAAACAGTATTATTCAATCAAGGTAATCATTGTCAAATCACATATTTGTCTTTGCAACTTACGAAAGAAAATCGGATGCTCTGGAAGTGCATAAGATTGTAAGTAACCATTAACACCGTGCAGTCATATATATAGCGCACCGATCCACACAGACACAATGTGCCAGCTAACCTCAATTGTTACCTATGGATGTTACGTTCATGGGACTATTGCCAAAGCAATGTATAACGGTACAGGAGTTTTTTTTTAATTGCTACAAGAGTTATGCCTATTCAGTGACATGAATAAACAACATTTCCAGTGACTCAGAAAAAGATAGAACTAAACCATGCATCGATTTGATCCCAAAATCCCAGTACTATTCCTTCTTTCTGATTTGAGCTTAAGCTTCACTAATTAGACCCAACAATCACCCGTAACCTAGCTGACTTATACCATCACATTATGTCAAATATATGGCAGTAAGTAACAATCACAATTCCCAGTTAACCTGTACATGTCTGCATGCCAGTATCAACAATAAGTAAGAAATTTAAGGCATCAGAAGTGACTCCAGGCGCATTTGTTAAAAACTGCAAGTTTCTAACCTCTGTAGCCGCAGACGGAGGCTCCGGCGACGAACGCGCCGACGGCCCCGTTGACGAAGTCGCGCTTCTTGCGCTGGCTCTGCACGAGCTGCTCGACGCCGATGTAGAGGCCTCCGATGGTGGCGAAGGTAGCCCCATAGGTGCCGCACATCTTGAGCGTCCGGATGAGGCCCGGGAGCGCGACGTGGCGCTCCACACGGGGCACGTCGTACCAGGTGGCGACGACGGTGCCCCAGATGGTCCCCGTGGCGAGCCCCGTCACCGCGCCCTTCACCGTCTTCGTCAGCGGCGAGTCCTCCTCCATCGCTTCGCTCCTCCGGTTCCTGCACGACAGGTGCAGCGAATCAAAGCCGCACGTGACTCGGGATCCGGCGAGCCCCAACTCTCGGCACTTGGCAGGAGAGATCGGGATCTTGTGGCAGCGTGCGCTTGGTCTAGGTGGGTGTGGGGGTGAGGCTGTCCGCCGCGTTGGAAGAGGAGTTGAGCGGAGAGGGGAGTGGGTTACCTGTCTCGAGACTGCGCGGTGCGTGCCGGCGGCCGCCGAGTGCCGAGGCGGGGGCGGAGAAGGTTGAGGAGGGTTCAGGGGCGGACGGATGGAGGTCTCGGGGTCGAAATGGAATCGCCAATCGCGTCGTCGGCAGCGCCGTAGGAGTGGGGAGCCCGGCCGCGGCGGCGTTGGTGCGGGGTTCCGGGCCTGGTTGGCGCGTGGGCTGCTTCGCTGCTGCGGAAAAGGCTGGCCTGTCTACATGGGCCTCACAAAGGGATCACGTTAAGAAATTCGGATCAGATGCATAGCAGCGAGTCCGTAACAGACTAGTACATCCAACTTCCTAAAAAAAACAGTACATCCAAATTCAACTAATCAATTAATTATCAATTTACTAAGCTGCGCAATTAACTCAGTGCATCTTCAATAGTTTCTAAAAAAAAAATCAGTTGGTAAATCAAAGAGTTTCCCAAGTGACTAAAAAAGTTAGGAGCATATTAGCCTCGTTCGGCTGGGGCTGGCTGGCTAGGCTGGCTGGCCAGCCCCCTCATATGGGCACTATTCACATGAACCAGTCAGCAGTACTTCTCTCTCACATAAACGAATCAGCAACGATACGAACCAGCTAACCGAACAGGATAATTATCTAGCTCCTAAAAGATAGAGGGTAACTTTGCATTAATAATCCTGGATTTTTCCTAAATCACCCCAACCATTTTTATAGTTTTTTTTTCTCTCTCGTACTTTTGCATTGGAGACCCTATTCATACTTTTATTCTTTCCCATGCAATTCCACCATCGGATTGGCGGATTGATGCGCGCGCAAATGGATTAGTTTTTCCAAGTGCAAAAAGTTTGGGAGTTGAGATAGGGAGTTGTTGGAGAGTGTTTTTTTATCTTGTCAAAAAACAAGATTGGGAGTGAGTTTTGGAAACTCTTGGAGATACTCTCGGTCCAAGTGGAACACAAAGTACTGACTCTTATCTCAAATTAACTGTGTTTCTGGACGAGACAATACTTTGTTACTCGTTAGGGCAGTCCCACTGCTAAAAACACATGTAGTTTCTATGTTTATTAATTTATTTACATATAAACTACGTTCTTAATGGATAGTTTCTATATTATAGTTTTTATCCAATCACATGTCTTCTCTTTGCATCATGTCCCTATCACATATCTTCATGTTTTGGTTAGAACTATTTCCTCATATCTCTTCTTTAATTGCAGTGCCACGTCACTTTTTTTTTTTGTTTAGGTGGCACCTTAATTAATGAACATAGAAATCATGTAGTTTCTTGGTTGAGAGTGCCCTTAGATACCTCGTACCTCCGTTCATGTAGAAACTGCATGGTGTTCCAACAAAGATGCAGTAAAGATCTGACTATTTGAGAACTGAGACCCTAAAACTTGGGTCGATTGGCTGCGTTCGGCTGACCCCAAACCCGGCTTGATCCGCTTCTTTTTTCAGCCAGAACAGTAGTTTCTCTCTCACAAAATATCAGCCGCTACAGTGCTTTTCAGCCGCTTGTCAAGGATGATTGGTTGATGGCGTGGCGGCACTGTTAACCTATTTACACATCATTTAGTACACTATTTCCATTTAATCGATCGTTTACCCCATTTAAATGGCTGTTTTGCCTGTTTAAATGGTCATGTAATCTAAATAATAGCTAAACGACGAGTGACCGACTATTTAGTGTTTAACATTTAGAATAACCCTACAGGGTGGTTCGTGAACTACGAAACCTACCCGGCCAGGTTCGTGTTGTTCATCTTGTTTCTCCTCCCTGCTACCATTCTTCCCCTCTACTGCTAACACTCACGCTGGGAGCTCCTCTCGAGCGTGACCGAGCGCGTCCGTCGGGCGAGATCCCATGTGCCAGCAGCGCGGGCCGCAACGGCAGGCCACCACCGGGGGTGGGTGTGGGTCGCCGGTCGCAAAGTGCCGCAGCTTTTTTGCCAAAAAAGCTCTCTGCCGACCTTGTCCCGTGTGTCGGGTTCGAACAGAGGAGATGGTGGATGCTGTGAACTTGTGATAATAAGGTGATACCTAAACCGATAGGCATCGAGTCCTGTGGCAGTGCCATGCCATTCCATTCCACTCCACTCCGGGTGTCAGGATCACGATATATTTTGTTCTTGTGTTTTAATTCAAATAACGAAAGATCAAATTTAGTTTCCTAAAAAAACGAAAGATCAAATTCCATTAAATATTGATGCCTTCCAGTCTTACGAAGCCTGAAATAAGTCATCAAAATGAACTGACATTTCATTCATGTACTGCAAATCTATAAGGGGCCATTTAGATCCTTTCATACGAGAATTGAAATCTACTTAATAAATTAGGCTATTTGGCTTGAAATTTAACATTCCACCACTTTTCAAAGTTCACATATAAGTCTATCTCAAATTCATAGGGTGGAAGATAAAAATTGATTTCATAGAGCATCATTCTATGTTTCTACTCTACAACTTATAACACGCTTCTTCAACTCGATACAACACATAAGTATCTTTCTCGTATAGCTAACAATAATATATAAATATAATCCATATATAACCATATTAGTTTAATTAATATATATCTAAATTATGATTAATAAATTTAATTCGAAGCATCCAAACAAGGCCTAAAGGTTATTTGTCGCATACATGGATAGAAATGATCAAACCTGAGTATAATCCAAGTTGACCTAAATGTACTCAGATATCGTAAATGTAAATCCTTATACAAACAAGCTATTCCCTGATCAAATAACCAGATTTATCTAGCAAACTATATACAATAGATATTAGTTCAGCAAACTAAGAACAGCAGATAACAGATCCTCAAGACAGCACTTGTGTTCTTTTTCATTTCCAGAACTTAATAAACTACAAATAATTGCAGTAAGAGCAAATGAGAAGACCAGACTAATCAAAATTGCAGGAACACCTTCTGGTATCACCAGTTTTTGTAAACTGAAAGGTAAAATCTCTGCTACAAGCAGCTCAAATAGAATCAGGCCTAGAGCAGCTGAACAAGTAGGTGTACCATTAGTTCATACACTTCGGGTCAAGGAAAAAAACTGAGGCATGCAATCTGAACATGCTAGTTTACATTTTGTTTTTCAGCACTGGGAGCTACTAGACATGACAATATAGCAAAAAAAATTGGATGCTACCTTGTACTGAAAACCACAGGGATGATTCACTTGCATTCTAGTCCTGCCTCTGCTGCTCGCCGGGGCTTGTTTTTCCGCCGGCTCCCAATCTGCCTGAATCCATTGGTCCTTGTTGATTCATCACTGCTTGATCGAACAATAGAATTACTATCTTCTATGACAATATTAGAGCCCTCTTTCAACGGCCTGCCTCTCTTGTTACCACCGGCTGCAGCGCTGTTCTTCAGCTTGGCATCATCAACTTCTTCTTGGTCGCCATCGACCTTTTCTACAAAATTTTCAACATCTGCTTGATCGATCTTATTGGCGAAGCGCTTTTGGGGCCTTCCCCTCCTCTTTTTTGCAGGCACAACTTCTTCACCACTGCTACCTTTGTCTTCATGGCTCCTGACAGTGGTTAGCTTCTTCCCTCTCCCTCTTCCTCTACCCATGGATTCAATTTCAGCAGTGCAAATATTGGTCAGTCCAATCACTGGAGCTGCAGGCTCTGTTGAAGCTGCTCCTTTTGTTTTATCTGATTGCTTGTTGGAAATGAAGTACTTCGTCAAGACAACTGGTCCTTTGAAAGTCTAGTAAAAAAAGATATACTAGAAATCTGCATAAACAGAATCAAGGGCATGCTCAGAAATCTGGGTAGTTAAGGACCAAAAATCGTAATGGAGATCGGAGTGTGTATGTAACAATGAACTTCTTTATCCTTCAAAAGAAAAGAAAAGAGAGAGAATGGACTACGAGGTCTATTGAGATCCATGTTAATCGAAAATCGATTCATTCAAATCAAAAGGCACACATATACCCAAATGAAAGCTATATAAAATAGAAAGAAATACGCATCTAATCAAATAAAGTAAAACGAAAAGGAGAGATTTTTTAAAAAAAAATATATGAACGAAACTAAGAATAAGAAACAGAAACAAGGATGTCTATCGAGAATCGACGAATTCAAATCAAACAACATGCATATACCCAATTGGAAGTTACACAAATAGGAAGCAATACGCATCTAATAACTAGATAAAGTAAAAAGAAAGAGAGATTTTTAACTTATATATGAACGAAAAAGAAACAGAAACAGGGGCCGATTCAACAGCCGATCCGCTCCATACATTAATGGATTGATGAAAAACAAGAATCTGACCTTCCATAAAGCTTGCGTCTACTCCAAGGAGCGTCATGCACCCCATTTCTCAAGTCCGTTGGCGAAAAGATGGAAACTTTGCCGGCGCTGGAGGAAAAGGAATGCAAAGGACCTAATGGATCGGTGGCAAACTTCGGCTCGCGATGCCGGAAGTACTGCAGATCGGGAAGTCGCGGCAAAGATTGAGATGTGGTGTGCAGGAAGGGAAGCAGGAAGGTTTCTATCAACGAACCGCTAGCGCCCTGGAGTTCTGGATGGTTGAGCTCCAATAGCTGCTGGGGCAGCCGCAGCAGCACACCGGCTGGGGTTAGGGAGGAGAGAGAGGTTTGGTTCTGCTACAGGATTTTTTAAATATCTAGCTTGTTGAGGGGCCATTAGCTGTTTGTTTATGCTTTTATTTACAGTCTACCAACCGTTGAAAAATGGGGGAGGGGGAGAGTGCTTCGACTGTTTGATTAATTAAAGAAATGGGTGAGCAAGATGGATCCTAGGGACGCGGTTAACTTTTACCATAATGGGATTTTTGTTCCATCTTCCATCATGTTGGTGGAAGTTATTTTTACCAATACTCCTACGAGGTTAGTTGCCTTAATACCTGACAACCTGACAACCTAGGCCACGGCTTTGTTCCAAGAGAAGATGCCAGCCACAGTTCTCTTCGATGCGCTGGTTCCAGCTCCAGGTGGAGTGAACCATGGTCCTGTATGAGTGTATGGCACCTGGTTTGGGTGAGCCATTTTTTGTTGTTTTTTTTTTTGGTAATTTTGCTACCAAGCAGTAATTTTGTTTAGGCATTATTATTCTTTTCAACAGCTGAATAGTGTTAAGCTTTTGTCTTTCCAAAATTACCACTGGATGCTTTTCGGTGTTTATTGTTTCAACTATCAGCCTGATCGGCTGGGGCTGGCTGGCCAGCCCCCTCACTTGAATACTATTTACATGAATCAGCCAGCAGTACTTCTCTTTCACATAAACGAACCAGCAACGATACGAACCAACCAACCGAACAAGCTGTATACCTGTAATATGAACTGTTACAATCACAGCATTGCTAGCTGTAACTGACTTTAACAGTATCAACAGGTTATAGGGATTAGACAAAGCAAAGCCGACTTCAGCAATTTGCGGCAAGTGGCCGTATTAAATTGGAGTGAATCCTGACACTATGATTATTTTTCTGCCCTTTACTTTGAATCTGAATTCATCTTCTATCTTTCTTTGTCTGAACAATTTCGTCTTCTACCTTTCACAGCTGCCAACTCCGCGGATTTTTACAGTAATGTAGGGTATCCAAATCAAATGTCCCAACCGGGACGAGGTCTGTGCCTGTAGTCCCGTACGCCTGCAACTGCAATGGCACTGTCGTATTCCTGAATGAATATACTGTATCACACACTGTATATATCGACAGGCTGTTTAAAGCGTCGCAGAAAATGTACTCGGTGCCCTTGATGTCAGGTCCTTACTGAGCTACGGAGTATGTTCCCGTTTCTCAAAGCTTGTTTGTAATCTGTTTTTGTTGTTTTGCCCATGCTTGTTTGGACTTTGGACAGCTGTAGGTTGACCCAACCAAATTTTTATGAACGTTTGTACATCCTGCAATAATTCACAGTACTTATACGAAATTCAACAGTGCTTTCTGCCCTGTTCTTCCAGAGAATTTTATTTCCAGATGCTTCCCAAAGAAAAGCCTCTCCAGTTGGACAAGTTCTACAGCTGGACGACTACCGCTGCATCAGGGATTCAGGATACATGGGATGAACGAGGAAAAGCCTGCGTGTCTCATCACTTTCTTTTTGTCTGCATGTGCGTTTCATCAGATGGATGCAGATTACGCTCAGCCTGGGCAACAGATTTTGCAAATAAAGTGAAACAGACTTGGACCACACCCTTGAAGGCACTGCACTGCATTTTTCATCAGCGTGCCATCTGCCGACAGACAGAGGGGGAAAATGATCTAGGCACGGACGTATTTACACTTTTACGACGGGCCAATTATGAAAGCCAGATTTCAGCAAACCAGATTCTGTTTGACAGCCTCTGCTCAATTTAAATTCAGTAGACACCCCTTTAGATTTGAATCGTGTACTTATGATGGAAGGATGGCATGCTCAACAACAGCAGGATGACAGTAACCTTGAAAGCTTCCCGATATTATTCAGGTGCTCATGAACTCTCTCATGTTTTCTCCTGTCCCTTAGGCAATTTTTTTTAAACGTACTTGTAGGAGCTCTGCCTTTCAATTAAGATAGGGTAAGAAAGTTTATGTACAAGCAAAGTCAAACGAGGTTATGGTCCCCCCCCAATAAGTATGTGAGCTAAACGTAATCGAATGCTCTCTTCCTTTGCTCGATGTCTTCCTTTATCCTTGCGGCTACTTACGGCACCGTTTCAATCATATTGTCGAAAATTTTCCTATTTCTCTCTTTCTATATATTCCAAAAGATGTAGATAACTACCCCGTTAAGCCTCCTACGCTCAGATCTTGGCAATTTTGCTGCCGTGTCTTCCCACCATGACTTGATATGGGTGGGGTTTGCATGGTGCTGTTGTTGGATTTGAGTGAAGTTTTCCCACGTGAAGATTTGATCCCAAACTGTCTTTGCAAAAGGGCAACAAAGGCATAGGTGGAGGCTTGTCTCTAAGGGTCCGTTGCACATCACGCACTGTTGTTGGTGTGGCCACCCTCTCTTTTGTAGGTTCTGTGCCGTTAGAATTTTGTCTTGCACTAAGATCCATGCGAAGATCTTGCATCTGTTCTCCACATGCGCTTTCCAAATCAAGTCCGTACCGAAGGGGAGGAGCGAACCTCTGAATTGGATTCTGTAGGCCGATCGGGTGGAGTAATTCCCATCGTCGGTCCAACGCCAGGTGATGGTGTCCTGGAGGCCCTGTTGCAGGTGCATATCCTGTATTCGTATCCAGAGGGACACAAACTCCTCTATGTGGATAGCCGAGGTGATTTTCCTTCATAGTTTATGCATTCAATTGTTGTTCCGGAGCTCTTGTTGCACCGTTCGGTTTGTCCTTGAGAGCAGGCGGAACAAGTTCGGGGCTAGGTACTTAGGAGCTTGACCATCGAGGCAACTGTGGTGCCAAAACTTTGTCTTTGCGCCATCCCCCAAAGATATAATGATTGCGGAGTTGAAGAGGAGGCGGTCATCATCAGAACATGGAAGCTCTGAGCCGCTCCAAGATTTGGACTCGTCCACCCATTCTTGCCATAGCCATCGCAACCGGAGGGCTCGCCCAAATCTTTTGGTCTGGTAACCGTTTGCCAGTTGACTAGACAGTGGCCGCCATTTGCATTCTCGTCCCCCTTCCACAAGAAAGATCTCCTTATTTTGTCGATCTTTTTCTTAGCCCAAGCGGCTAGAGGAAACACTGTTAGGTGGTACGTTGGCATGGAGGAGAGGACAGAGGTTACAAGAGTGAGGCGTCCCGCTCTGTTTAGCAATCTTCCTTTCCATTTAGGTAGCCTGTGCCCAATACGGTCTATGAGAGGTTGCACGTGGATCCTTTGTAGTGTTCTAATGTGTAGTTGAAGGCCCAAGTATTTGCATGGGAAGCCCCCTCTAGTACCGGTGAAAGGTGCCAGGACTTGGTCTAGGTCAACGTTTGCACAACCGATTGGATGTACTGAGCTCTTTTGTAGATTAATATGAAGTCCCGAGAATGTGTCAAAAGCCTACAGGATGATTTTGACGGCCTCCACATCGTCTTTTGTGGGGTTGACGAAAATGGCCGCATCATCTGCATACATTGAGGTTCTCCATTTTGCCGCCGTGATTGGTAATGGGGTGAGTATCCCCTGTTGGGTTGCCAGGTCAAGGAACCGTTGAAGCGGGTCCATGGCTAGGATGAATAGCATGGGGAAAGCGGATCCCCCTAGCGGACTCCTCTGGCATGGCTAAAAGTGGCCCCCAGTCACCCGTTCAGGATGGGTGTCGAGGTGGATGTACGTAGGAGGATGGAGATCCACTCACGCCATCGCTGTCCGAAGCCCAGAGCCTGAAGAGTCTCGAGCAAGTACCCCAATGTACCATGTCAAAGGCTTTGTGGATGTCTAATTTTATGAACAAAGCCGGAAGCTTATGCTTGTGTAGTCTTTTTACCGCGCCCTGGACGTACAGAAAATTATCATGGATGCTTCTGTTTTTTATAAAAGCGCTCTAGCAGTTCGAAACAAGGGAGTTGAGTCGAGGGGCAAGTCTGTTAGCTAACACTTTGGAGAAGATCTTTGCAATGCCATGGACTAGTCTGATGGGTCTAAAATCAGTAACTCTTGTTGCA